AAGGAATGGTCGTTATTCAGCCTTTATTATCTCCTAAAATCCAGGTCTTGCTTCTCATTCTTCATGGTAAACAGCCACTTATTGGTGTAAGGTAGATGGCATAGAGAGACTCTGATGAATCCAATCTCTGCCCAGTAAAGCTTCATAAGTGGAAGTACTGTCAACAACAAAAAAGGCCAACATGATTTGTTTAGAACCCAAATCAACTTCTAATGGTAATATCCCATGAGTCCTAGTAATGGCTCTCGAGAAACTGGAAATTATAAGATCTGTGAGGATGAGATCTTCCTCACTTCTGCATATTTTCTTCATTTGCTTGTAAGGCAGTACGTTGATTGCAGCTCTACCATCAATCAAGACCCTCTTGAAGGGTATTCCTTTCAAATGAGCAGTTACGTATATGGGTTTGAGATGGGTGGCCATGGCCAAACTCGGGTAGCTGAAGATCATCCTATCTGTATATATCTTTTTGGGCTCCCTCATTGCCAGTTCAGGCACATTCGTTTTGCTTGATTCATTTTCTTTATCTCTTCAACACTAACATGTGCCATCAAGGGTTCTGTTGCCAAGTAGTCACCCTCTATCGTGGCAGGTTAATCGTGCTTGGGACAAAATATGGCGGATAAAACATATGTCATGTTTACGTGGAAGTTGTTGGGTCTAGGTAAGTCTTTCTCCTTGGCTTGGATGTGCTTTGTGAACTCATCCAACCAATCATATGCTTCTTTTGGTAGCATTAGTTTGGGTAAACAGGATCCTGAGTTATGCCAAAATTTTGCACTTGGTCCATGTCTTCACAAAGGGTATCAACCAGCAATGGTGAGGGTATCCCTCTCTCGGGCGAAATAGTTCCAAAATTGATTGGCTCTGGGCTTCATCTCGGGGTTAGTATCATTATCATATCCTCTTGAGCCCTTCTTAGAATTCTATATTCCCCAGGATGGGGGTACTACGGCACATGGTCTCCTCCCCCTTCCGTCTTGCTATTAGCCTTCTCCACATTTTTCTTGGTTCTCCAATGGAGTTGATTCCTTCCCTCATTGGGTACCTTCTCGAACTTTACATTCTCAGAGGTTTCTAAGGTAATAGGGACCTTTAATGAGTTCATGTGGGCTTTATGTTGCCTCTGTACTCTTCTAATCATGGAGGCTCCCATTTCTTTAACGGGTTTCCCATCCTTTCTGGCCATATACCATTTCCGACCAAGTCGGGTAGGATTCTTCTTTGTAACTGGATTCACAGTTCTCCCCTTTACTCTAACATTTCCACTGGAATAGCTTGGTTGGGATGGCTTCACATCCACCCATTTTGGTACCTTGGCCTCTCTGTCTTCTACCTCTTCAGAAGCTTCATAATTTCTAAACACTTCTGACAAGCCCTTTAGTTCAGAATCTCTTCTCAATCTTTGGAAAACATTCTTAGAGGTCTCTCCTTCAGCTGCCTGCATATCATTTTTGTGGGCCTCTTTCTTTTCTTTTTCTCTTCTTTTGATCAGCTCCTAATCAATAATGGCTCCTGATGCTGGGACTTCTAGCTCACACTCACATTGACATCTACCACACAATACTACTCCTTTGATTATGGTCGCCTTGGGTTTCTCGGGCAACTTGATGGCTCCCTCAGTTGGCCTGGCAATTTGCCTTTGTTTTACTTTCAACTCTCAGGTAGCTTTTCCTTTCCCCTTTTCAACCTACGTCAAGTTGATCATGTTTATTGGGGCTTCTGGAAAATGATTAGTATCAACCATCATATTAGCCTGCGGTTTTTCCAGCAACAGCTTTCCTTTGATGATGAGATATTGTATCCAATCTCTAAACTGGACACAGTTGGTTATGGAGTGATTGAAAATGTAATGCAGCTTGCAATACTTTTTCCTTCTTAGTTCTTCAGGTTTGGGAAACTTTTTGGTGCTGTCGGGCATGATGACTCTTGCCTGAACCAGCTCTTCATAGATTTCAGCTACCTTGGTTAGATCAATGGAATAGCTTTGATACTTGGGAGGTTTCATTGGTAGGAATCCACTATCATTCATGACCACTTTCTGGTCGTTAACCGGCTGGACTAATTCCTTTACTGTCAAAGGCTTAAAGGGAATGGTCATCTCTGCTGCACACATATCAATTCCATCTCTTCCATAACCATTATTTTCTTCCAGCTTCATCCCTTTAAACTCCATTTGATAAATGTCAGCCTTGTTTTTATAGAAATGAGGTATTTTGGAGGAATGATTTGCTTGTTGTTCTTCGATCAACAATTTTTCATACTTGGTGGCAACAATCACTAGTTCTTGCAACTCATTAAACTGCACATCATAAAACTTATTCCTCAAGGGTAACCTCAAGGCCTTCTGAGCAATAGCTATAAGCTGGACATGGTTGATAGGAAATTGGCATCTCATTCTTGTCTTCATAAACCTCATCATGAAGTCCTCGGTAGATTCATGCTCGTACTGCTTTACCTCAACCAGATCGTTGATGGTCATTTCTGGCTCCTTTCTGTAAAACTACTCGTGGAAAGCTGTCTCCATTTGCCCCTAGTTAACAATAGAATTTGGAGGCAAAAAAGACTACCACTGAGATACTGACTCTGTCAATGAATTCATAAACAACCTTAACTTATAGTTAGGATTATCTTCAAATGCCACACAATGGTTGGAGAATTTGAAGATATGGTCCCTGGAGGACACACTGTTATCTTCCTCGCTGAATGTTGGGAATGTAGGCATCTTGAAGTGGAATGGGATTCTGCTCATCAATGAACTCTGGGTAGGGCTTTTGATAGGTAACCTTAAACAGTGGGCGAGCTTGTGGCTGAGCATTTCTCACGACCATCCTTCTAAACTCGGTCAACTCATCTCTAAGTTGCTGATTGGCCGTATTATTAGGCAGGGTATGTGAAAGTCCCCACTTCGGGCTACGATCGTTGCCTGAGTTAATCTCATTTCTTGTTTCGGGCTTCCTCCATTAGGCCTCTCCTCCTTTACTGGCCAAGGGTGGTGGCCTATAAGGAGGAGGCTTGTCTGCCTTAGTAGGCTCTCATTTCCCGCCGGATTCCCCGATCAACTGAGGCATCCCATACTTCGTCATTTCTTGACCACTCTACCCTCTACTGTTTAGTGAAAATAGGGGGTCGGGCAACTCCGCTTCTAGAATTTCTTCCAACACTAGCTGACTAACTCTTGACCCTTTCTTGTTTTTTCCTTTATTCCCGTTTTCCTCCGGTAAAGAAAACAGAAGAATAACTGGCTCCATCACTAAATGGCTGTTAGTAGGGTGAGTTATGGAGCAGAAATGGGGCAGCAAGCATGGGCATAAAGGCTGCAGGTTGCAGCAGCAAAAGAGAGTTCTTTAAAGGAAAAAAAGATAGAAAAAAAAAAGAAGGAAAGGAAGGAAAAAAGGCAAGGCTGCTGCGTTGAGAAAGGAAGGAAAGGAAGGAGGAAATCTTGGCATTCTCTTCTCTCGGTTTTATCTTCTCAAACTCATGTCTTTCTTTTGGTTTATTTTGAGAACTATGTGTAACTAATTTTTTAGAAGTTAGGGGCTGTTTTGAAGCCCCGAATATGATTGCAATTTTGTTATGACATTTCGTTGAATTACTTTTATGAATGGATGAAACTTGGTTCACTATTTGTCTCATTGATGAATTCTTTATTTGTTTTCTATGGATGCATACGTAGTAAGCATATCTAGGATTCTAATGCTATAAATATGTGTGTGCCTGCTCTTGTCGAATGAGGACCTACATATGTTCTAAAGTAGTACTTGTTAATTGCGATTAACATGTGAACCTATTTCTAGGATAAGTAAGACAACGCCAGTACTTACGATGCATTGTGATGACTCAAACTCTTTTCGTTCTTAATGATTTCTACTTGTTAAATCTATGAACACGCCAATCTAGATTGCATGCTAGGGACTAAGTTAAGTTGAAAACGACATTCTCTTAACATACTACGTAAGAAAGAGTAATAGGGTGAGTTCTAACATTAAGCCAACTTGAGCATCTTCATCCGGAAATTAAAGAAATTTGAATGAAACATAACATGTTTGCATGATTATTTGGTGGTGGATAGCAATACCCCTAACTCGTTTTTCTTAATTTGTGAACTACTTAAAATTTGTTTCTATCCTGTTTTTGTTCGATTTAATTTAAATAGCAAATCAACTCCAAAAACCCCAAACATTTGTGTGAGTTAGCTTTGTGTGTCTAGTATCTGCATATAAAATTTCGTAGACTTTAGATAAGTATAAGTCGGTCTAATAATTATTTTTCGGTGGCTGGTCAGTAGGGACAGCAACCCAGTTTTTGTGACATTTTAGGTAGTTAAATAAAACAATCTTCTGCGAGAAAGACCCTTATTTTCATATGCTACAATTGACAAATCTTAGTGTTAATAAGGAAAATCAATAGGACATTTGTGTGCTACTTTCTTTTATGTCAAAAGTTTAAATATTAACCCAAACAGTTTTAGTATAGGGTCACGACTGGTGGCTTCTTCCAGTACTAGTGGCACTGTTGCCGATGATGAGGTCCACAAGTATTATTTTCAATAGGCATATTTGTCGATTTACAAGTTGAACTTATGTAAAGCTGTCAATTTTCCCCAAATACCTTAGTTTTAGCTGATGATCCCCTGAACTTTATAATTAGCAAATTTTCTCCTTGAATTTTAATTCTAGCCAATTACTCATCTGAACTTTTATAAATAGCTAATTTTCCTTCTAACTCTAGAGTTTAAAATCTTCATACAATTTTCCATTTATTTGGATCATACGTACGACACATGACAACTGTATGGGATATTGAGAAAGGAAAATTTGATATTTATTATCTAACGCTAGTAGGCAATTGACAATGTACAAAATTTTAGAAGAGTAACCGGTTAAAATTAAAGTTTAAAGAGAAAATTAGTAATTATAAAAGTTCGGAGTAATGAGTTAAAATCAAAATTCAGAAAAACAACTGGCAGCACTATAAAAGGTGAGAATTGTGGACGAGCCCATTGAGCCGGGTTTTGTATATGCTTTGCTGCCTATTTTCTTGAATGATATACAGCAAATCCCTTATCCCCTTTCCTTGGAAACTCAATCAAGTCCAAAAATGGCACCACTCTAATCAAAGGCTCAAAGCCCCCAAACCCAAACTCAATATATATTATCATGCCATTACCCACCACAATCATAACCATAACACCACCGCCCACCTCCTGCCCTGCTCCAATTTTCCCACCAAATCGCCCTCATTTCCCGCCCAGAAATCTGTTTACTACAAAAGCCATCCTCCACAACCACAGACCAACAATGGCAAATCTTTCTGGGTTCGGTTTCAGTATTGGGTCCCGACTGGTGGCTTCTTCCGGTACTAGTGGCAGTGTTGCCGATGATGAGGTGCGCACCCTGATTGAGTATGCGTCCGGCGAGGGAGGTGCCACTGTAGGAGATGATCTGGTGCTTCTGTTCCACCACTTACAGTACGCCTGCAAGAGAATCGCAGCTCTTGTAGCTTCTCCTTTCAATTCCAGCCTTGGAAAGCACAAGGGTCTCGCTGGCGGCGGCGCTTCGGCTGCTGGGTCAGGCCGGGATGCACCGAAGCCTCTCGATATCGTTTCGGTAAGTTTAACCCCAAGATATAATTGTCTTCAGGAAGTTTGTATTCTCTATGCAATCATGCATACTCATGGGTTTACTCATGTGTATAAACCAATGCTTTTTGTTGATTTTATTTTAATTGAGTCATTGGAGGACGCTGTGTAGGACTGATCTGTTTAAAGCTCTAGTTTCAGTGAGTAAGGGTTAAATTTTTAGCAGAAAATAACTCCCTATTTTGTTGAAATGTCCTCAAATCTGTATGGAAACTGACAAGAGATGTGGACAAAATTGAGGGTGCCTATTCGTTTTGTTTGAAAGGAAACATAATGCCATTTGGTTGGCTTGATGGGGTGTAAGTTTTGAAATAAAAAAATGGGGTCAAAACCGGAGCCAAAGGGCTTGTGTTTGGTTTGCAAATTTCCATAATTTATGCTCACATCCCTTCCCATACATATATGTATACCTATATTGTTCTTCTAAGCCACATCAAATCCGCATTGAGTGGGAAGAACCTGACTGCCCCAGTATAACACAACTTTTGGTCAGAAGTGAAGTGGTAGGTATTGTCGATGATTATCTAGTGAAACGCCTATTCAATCTATTCTTCTAACGTCGTGATGATGGCACAAGCTGTACGCACCAAATATGGGTGAGAAAATCTATGACATATCCATTGAAATGACTCACCTATGGCATGGTCATTTAAGATTATTTGTTTATAATAGTGATTAAACGAAATGCTTAAGGACACTAGCTTCTTCAGCTGGTAAATTTTCTTGTTTTGTACAAGAGGTGTAGGATCAAATCCTTTCTTCACTAAGTTTCCAAGGGATTTGAGCTTTCCATCTTTGGTGTACGGTGTTGTTACCAAATGAAAAATCTAATGTTCTGGTGATATAGCATTGATCTTTCGTTGCTCTGTAAGTTCTCACACCGGCTTGCCTTATTGTCAGGAGCAATCTAGTAATGGTGAAATCGAAGAAACATTTCTGATTAACTAAAGTTTCTTATTTGCAGAATGAAATCATCTTGTCATCTCTTAAAAATTCTGGAAAAGTAGCTGTCATGGCTTCAGAAGAAGATGATACTCCAATTTGGATAACCGATGATGGCCCATTTGTGGTGGTAACGGATCCTCTAGATGGTTCTCGAAATATTGATGCGTCCATTCCCACTGGAACCATTTTTGGGATTTATAAACGCCTTCCGGAGCTGGATCATCTACCAAAGGAGGAGAAGGCTTTGCTGAATTCACTCCAGAAGGGAACTAATCTTGTTGCTGCCGGCTATGTTCTTTATTCATCTGCCACAATATTCTGCACCAGCTTTGGTTCAGGAACACATGCATTCACACTGGATCATTCAACAGGAGATTTCATTCTCACACACCCAAGCTTAAAAATTCCTCCTCAAGGTAAATTCCAAACTAATATGCTTCAACATATGAGATTTCATTTGACAATTTATTACATTTTTACGGAAAGAAAAAACAACAGATTATTTAGAAACCATCACAAAATTATCTAACCTGTACGATGACTATTACACCTTGAAAAGAAATTGCACTATAATGGTTATTGACTGCTATATAAGTCTTCTGAAAAATACTAGTAGAAGCATTGAATTGCGCTTACGCTGGCTCTTTATTTTTCCAGGAAAACATATTCTGTAAAATGGTGATTGATGATACTGAAAACTGCTAGATAGAAGCATTTAGATTGCACTTACACTGGCTCTCTTTTTTTTTCCGGGAAAATATATTCTGTAAATAATGCTCGATGATACTGAAAAATGCAGGATAGAAGCATTTAGGTGTGCTTACGCTGATTCTTCATTTTCCAGGGCAAATATATTCTGTAAATGATGCTCGATATTTTGACTGGCCCAACGGATTAAGGCAATACATAGACACTGTGAGACAAGGGAAAGGCAGATACCCCAAGAAGTACTCTGCACGTTATATCTGTTCTCTGGTAGCAGATTTTCATCGAACTCTACTGTATGGTGGAGTGACAATGAATCCAAGGGACCACCTTCGTCTGGTTTACGAAGCCAACCCTCTTAGTTTTCTGGTGGAGCAAGCCGGGGGCAAAGGTTCTGATGGTAAAAGTAGAATTCTATCGATTCAGCCAGTCAAGCTGCACCAAAGGCTGCCTCTGTTCTTGGGGAGTTTGGAGGACATGGAAGAGTTAGAGAGTTACGGAGATGTGCAACAGAAAGTGAACCCGGGATACGAGGTTTGACAACATCAATAGGCTGATCTCACAAAATCCAGTGGATATATCGTCTGAGTAAAACCTGGGAATGGCTTATTTTCTTGGTCACAAAGGTCTTAACTGTGATTTCTGAAGCTGTGTGATTCCTCGTTTCCTCGGAAACTAAATGTCATGAAGAGTGTAGCTGTGAAAAACCAGGTGACATGAATATCTTCTGTATGTGATTTATCATGTAAAGAAGACTAGTTTGTATGATATCTTCCTGTAATTAAGAAGTCCTGTTTGAGCAAAAAGTTGCCCAGAATTGATGACTCTTTCTTTATCTCATTGAAGTGCAGCAGGTAAATGATTTTTGGCTAAAGTATTAGTGAATGAAATAAATTCATGAGGACCAAAAAACAAAAAGGTATTTCATTGACGCATAGATAAATAGTTATAAAGGAAAATAGTTTTTTTTAGTAGAGCGGTAACGTTACTGTGTTCAATGGTTGCTTGTTAGAGGAAATAAGAATAGATGGAGATTAAACCTGCACTATAGTGCATAGACATGATTGCTATATGTCATGTGGTAAAGCACCATTTGCTATCAAGAAAAGTTTTCTTTTTTGGTCCAAGTATTGAATCAAAATTTTAAAATTATTATTTGATGCGATTAGAATTGTTCCCAACAATAAAATGATTAAAAAAAATCTATTGGAATAAAAGAAATTAATAAAAAGTTCCTTGATGGTCATACAAATTAATCAACGATTTTGAACAACAGGAGGGGGGAACCAAAGAAACTGTGGTAAAGGATCATCAGATTCGTTCAAGAAAATCCAAACGTGTAGTTATTTTTACTGATAACCAACAAAATACTAATGCTTGTTACAACACGGCGAAACAAGAAGGTTCAAATGAAATCCAATTAGAAAAAAAAAAAAAATTCTTAGTATACCTAATTTTCTTGGGATTGTAGTTCAATCGGTTAGAGCACCGCCCAATCAAGGCAGAAGCTGCGAGTTCGATCCTTGTCAGTCCCGACCTAGGTTCCGATGAATCGATCAATTCATCTCTCCATTATCTGTGAAAGGGGGCAAAGAGTAGGATATAATTCTCAGCAGGAGAATCCTTCTTTCGTAAGATATCTCTATTACTCACTTGAAATAAACCGTGACACATACTTTATAATCATTATTTTTTAGGTATGAGCACATATTTCATAGTTTAAGAGTGCTAATTTTTAAGATTATTGGTCTCAACAGAAACATTTTATGTTTTAATTTTTTTGTATACAAACGATAAAGAAAATAGGAAGTCAAATTTGAAACCTCAATTGCAATAATGAATGTTCTTAAACATTTGATGTAACGACCCGTTCAGGATTCTACGAAACATAGAACATCGAGGGTAATTTTGCAATTTCACGTGTGGGAGATATTTTGCATGTTTGCCTTTTACAACTTGTTTGGTGTGCCAGTGGGGCCCACCCCTTTTATTTGGTCTCTCGGTCCTTTCTCTTTCTTCCCTCTTGCCCCATGTTCCCCCCCCCCAAACCTATCGGTTCTTTTTCTTCTCTCTTCTCTCTTATCTCCCTATGCTCTCTTGGAACCTAACCTTCCCCGAGGGTACCTTACACACAACACACAAACAACAACAACAACAACAACAACAGCAACGACGACAACACCACCACGATCTGAACCTTGTCGTCTTGACCCCAAGCCAAGGTTGTGGAGCTCCGGTAGTGGAGGAGTTCACTGTTTTGGTCTTCCCCGATGAACTCACGGTGAGTTCTCGCTACCCCCGAGGTAGTTAAGTCCTTAGAACCATTTGGGTTGTGTTTTAAGGTTAGATTAAGGTAGGTTTTAAGTTGTGTACACATGTTGGACGCAAAAACAGCTCGGGGGAAACTTTCCCCATATTCCAATGAGAACCATCACCTTACTGGCCGTTTTCCGGCCAACTCTGGCCACGAGATAGGTATAATATTCTTCCTTGTTCCTTGGGCTTCAATTTGGTATATTGAATGACTAGTTTTAGTTAAGATTTAGGGATGAACGGAGCTTGGAAAGCTCCGACTTTCTTTTTCTTGGAAACCGACCAACCCATGGCTTGAAACCTGGTCGACCCGACCTGCAACCCAAAACCCGATCCAAAACACGAATCTAACTCGGATTCGACCCGACCCGGACCAAATGGAATATTCTTCGAAATATTCCATTAGGGAATATTCTTTGGAATATTCCTATTGACTTTTCGTTGACTTTTACGAAATTCGTCCGGGATCCCTCTTAGGGTATTTCGATGCCCTAATTCCAAATCCATACTCTGTTTTCCCAAATTCAATCATTTTAGTAGGGTTTAACTAATTGGTCCTTTATGTGCTTAGGTGTGTTTATTAATGACGATTATGTCCTCCCTTGTTCGAATGGCTCTTCGGCGACAGAGTATCTGTGAGTGGACCCTTCTAAAATGCATGATTTTTATTACTAGAAATGCATACATGAAAAGCATGATTTTATGACGACATTTTATGAAACATTTATGAGTTATCGGATTTACGCTTTATGAAATATCATGCTTTATCAAATTTACGTTCTTTGAAATATTTATGAATATACATACTCATGAACATGGTTTATGATGATGTTTTGAGCTAGAACGCTCCCATGTATTTATGATATGATGTTTGAGCTATTGAGCTTCGATGAGATATATTTTGAAAAGTTTACGTTCAGGATTTTATGTGTTTACTTTGTGGATATATATATATATATATATATATATATATATATATATATATATGTGTGTGTGTGTGTGTGTGTGTGTGTGTGTGTGTGTGTGTGTGTGTGTGTGTGTGCCTTCGGGTGGGCGATATAATGCCTTTGGGTGGAAGATATATATGCCTTTGGGCGGAAGATATATATATGCCTTCGAGCAGGCGATGTAGTACCTTCGGGCAATTGTAATACCACTACTAAGCACATTATATATGATATATGTTTTACAAAGGTTTTATGGCATGCTAGGGTTTTCGGAAAACCTATTACTTATTAGCTATATGAGTTTTCCTAAAACTGGGGGTTATTACGTTTGAAGAGTAATTGTTTTAGTATTACTTATATATAAACTTGAATCCCTGTGTCAAGGCACTCCTACATTGGTATATTCGAGTCCTCTAGTGCAGGACCCATTCCTTTGTTCGTACCTTTTCATAATATTTATTCTATAGTATTCTCGATTAGTTGTATGCTCTGAACATGTTTCCACTTTTGCATATTCTTTATTAGTAAAATTTAGGTGTTTTATTTACACTCATTCTTTCTTCATAAGTTACATGCATGTTAATATGGCTTTGTCACCCTCGGATGTCGGCCAGCTCGTGCCTACCTTGGTGTTTGGAGGATATCGGGGTCGAGCGTGTCAGTTTGGTATCAGAGCATGGTTTGTTCAGAGCATACTTAGGATCATCTCTTACTCTAGTAGTTGTCGGCTTTGATATCATTTGGATGTCACGACTTTCGTTTACTGGTACCTTTTATGCACAGTTGCGTAATCTTCTTTCTGTCTGAATTGCCAAATCCTTATTTGAAGTACGAAAATTCATGTAGGGGCCTCATCGGCGTTGTAATTGTTTGATGGATGACTTTCAACAACGGACCGACACTCTGCGACATGCATTCCCTGGGAATGACTGGCAAAGTTAGATTTACATTAAAGTGACATGAAATAGAAAAATCTCAGTGAGAGGAAGTTTGGTTAAGACTAGCTAAAGATCTGAAACGAGGGTGATACTCTGCAACTTGCGTTCCCTAGGAATGGTAGGCAGAGTCGTATCTATATGGAGATTACTCAAAGCATTTGACGTTCATTTGGAGAAAGTGAGTAAGCACTAGTTCTATACGAAGTTTAGCAAGTGTTAGTTTGGTTGGATCGAATCAATGTCCTCGAGCTTGTTGTTTCCGCTGACGAAATTCATGTGGACCCTCAGAAGATTTCTCGGTGATTGCATTTCCTAACAAGTGGACAAATGCTCTAGCGACGTTCATGAACCATTGACCGGTTATTCCACCTATATTTCGACTGATTCGTGATTTTCTTATTGATAACCTTCTTGTCTACTCCAACAACGAGGTCAAGTTAACTAAACATCGACAGTCAGCTTTGCATCAAATTCAAACGTTGATTTTGTTTAGATTAGATTCTTTTCTTGGGAGACTCTTTTGTAGCATACGTTATTCTTATCAATTTCCAAAAAAAGTTACAACTGTTGAAAATTGAAAATCCTCACAAGGTGTTGTGAAATACGAAATATCTTTGGTCTTGTCAATTTCTATCGGCAGTTCTTAATGATTCTTTGAGCATACCCTTATTTCTTTTTTGGCTAAGAAACAAGTCAATTTTGTTTAAGATGTTGAAGGTGAATGAAGTTTATAACAACTAAAATATTGTCTCAGTTAATCATTGTTCTTACATTTTTCGATGACATCGATAAATTTTGAATTCTACAGTGATGTTTTATTGAATGTTTGGCTGCACACTGATGTAGCATGATCGAGTATGTCACGCCCCGACCCCGACATACGTCTAGGATCGACACTTAACATCACCAAATACCCGTATATCTAACATATCCCGCCTTTGGAATATGTACCAAGCACAACTCCAGCCTCGAATTGCGTAGTGATTTATCATATACTTTATGGCTGCATCTAACCTTTTTGTTAGGCTGCCTACATACCCTAAACATGGATTAAGCCATTCGTAGTTCGTCCATGGTTAAAAGTTAAACTTTCAGTAAAATATTTCTAGTAGAAAGCATAAAGTACTATAGTACGCATCAACCATAAGCCAAACCACAGTTGTCATATAGCCGTTCACACAGGTATGTCATTCACACCCACACATATGATTTCCAACATCATTCCATGATCACGTCAGTCAGAAACACATCTAATGAACTGAAATGCAGGCCTAGAGCGACAAAATTCGGCCGAAGCCTACATCTATGAAAAATAGGATTTCAGACCACTCAACGAAATCCAACAACATCAAGTTATGTACCACTCAACGGAACCAAAATACCAAACGGGATTCTGGACCACTCAACGAAATCCACATCGAGATACGATTCTGGACCATTTAACAAAATTTCAAAGTAGAAGGGATTCCGGACCTCTCAACAGAATCCGAGTGGATACGATTCTGGACCTCTTAACGGAATCTAGACGGAGCAAGGAACCAAACTACTCAACGGAACCCCAACGAATACCCAGTTCCGGATCACTCAACGGAACTGAGCGGAAGTCCAAGAATATGACAAAGGCTCAAGGAAACAATACATAAATCAAGTACTCAATTTAGAAGGGTTGAACAAAA